ATTAAGGACAGACATCCCCATACAAGTACAAGACGCACTTAGAATACCAAATACTCAGGACCAGAAAAGAAACTCCCCATGGCATATCATAGTAAAAACACTAAATGTACAGAAAAAAGAAAGAATACTAAAAGCTGCAAAAGAGAAAAAAGAAGTCACATATAAAGGAAAACCCATCAGAATTACAGCTGACCTAATGCAAACTATGAAAGCCAGAAGAGCCTGGATCAAAGTATTCCCAGTTCTAAATGACCATGGATGCCAACCCAGAATACTTTACCCAGCCTAAATGTCTATTATAGTTGAAGGGGAAAGAAAAATCTTCCATGACATGAATAGGCTGAAGGAATTCATGTCCACAAAACCAGCCCTTCAGAGAGTTCTTGAAGCAACACAAAGCTGAAGAAAAGAACTATACCCAAGAAGTAACAAAAACTAAATGAAGGTCTAATTGTGGAAACACAAAGTTAGGCCACAGAAATAAAAATGATGGCAACCAATACACATTTTTCAATTAATAACTTCAAATATCGATGGATTGAACTCCCTGGTCAAAAAACACGGACTAGATGAATGCATTAAAGAAACAAAATCCATCTTCTTGAGGTCTTCAAGAAACCCAAATCACCTTCAACAGGCACTACCTTAAGGCGAAAGGATGGAAAAAAATATTCCAAGCAAATGGCACTAACAAGCAGGGTTTGTGATTCCAATATCAGACAAAATAGACTTCAAACTAAAACTAATCAGGAGTGATAAATAAGGTCACTTATTTTTGACCAAGGAGACATTACAATCATGAACATATACTCACCAAATTCTGGTACACCCAATTTCCTAAGAGCAGTACTATAGGACTTCAAGACACAGATTAACCCTAACCCAGTAACAGTAGAGCACTTCAGTACCCCACAATCTCCATTAGACAGGTCAACCAGACCAAGAATAAACGGAGAGATGTCTGAATTAAATGATACTATACGTCAAATGGACCTAACATATCTACCTAATAGTCCACCTAAGAACCAAAGAAAGAACTTTCTTCTTTTATTTTTTACTTGTATGTGTATGAGTGTATTGCCTGCATGTGTATAAATGCACCCATGTTGTACAATGCCTGTGGAGGTCAGAAGAGGGTGTCAGATCCCCTGGAACTGTAGTTACAGATGGTTGTTAGCCGCCATGTGGGTACTGGGAATCAAACCTGAGTCCTTTGCAAGAGCAGTCAGTGCTCTTAACCTCTGAGCCATCTCTCTAGACCCCCAAAAATACACTTCCCATTCAGTACCCCATGGAACTTTTTCCAAAATTGACCACATACTGGGACACAAGACAAACTTCAACAAATAAAAAAAAAATTGAAATAATTACATGCATTCTATCAGACCACAATGCAATAAAGCTTAAAATCAACACCAAAAGAAGTCCTAGTAACTACATGAACTCATGGAAATTAAACAACACACTCCTGAATGATGAATGGATCAAAGAAGAAATTAAGAAATAAAAATATTCTTGGAATTAAACAAAAAGGATAAATAACACAACAAAACCTCTGGGGCACTTTAAAAGCAGTCCTTAGAAGAAAGTTTATAGCTCTAAGTCCCTACATTAAAAAAAAACAAACAAAAACAAAAAACAGAAAGAGCCCAAATACATGACCTAATGCTGCAACTCAAGACTCTGGAAAGGCAACAACAAATGAAACCCAAAGCCAGCAGATGAGAAGAAATAACAAAAATCAGAGCAGAAGTTAATAAAATAGAAATAAACAAAGAAAAAAAAAAAACAATACAAGAATCAATGAATCTAAAAGCTGGTTCTTTGAAAAGCTAAACAAGATAGACAAACCCTTAGCCCAGTTAACCAGAAGAAAGAAAGAGCAACTCCAAATCAACAAAATCAGAGATGAAAGGGGAAACATCCCAACAGACACCAAAAAGATCTAGAACACTGTAAGGGAATTCTTTAAAAACCTCCAGACTAAAAAAAGCCCAGGGCCCAGTTGGATTTGCAGCAGAATTCTACCAGACATTAAAATTATTCAAAAAGATAGAAACAGAGGGAGAACTCCCAAATTCCTCCTATGAAGCCAACATCACTCTAAATACCTAGCTAAGATACAAACCAAAAAATGAAAATAGACCCATATCCTTAATGAACATAGATGCAAAAATTCTCAACAAAATACTTGAAAACTGCATAGATACACAAAAAGATCATCCACTATGAACAAGTTGGCTTTATTCCAGAGATGCAGGGATGATTCAATATACATAAGTTAATAAGTCTCATAAATCATATAAATGTACTCAAAGACAAAAATCATATGGTCATCTCAATAAACGCAGAAAAGACCTTTGACAAAATTCAACATGCATTTATGTTCCAAGTCCTAGAGGGAATTGGACTGGAGGGAATATACCTCAACATAATTAGAGCTATATACAACAAACCCACAGCTAACATCATTCTAAATGGAGCAAAACTCAAAGGAGTCCCATTAAAATCAGGAACCAGACAAGGCTGTCCACTATCTCCACTCCTTTTTAATATAGTACTTGAAACTCTTGCTAGAGCAGTAAAACATGAGAAGGAAATTAAAGGAGTACTAATTGCAAAAGAAGAGGTCAAATTATTCCTTTTTGCAGATGATGTGATACTATACCTAAGAGATCCCAAAAATTCCACCAGAAAATTCCTAGAAAGGTTAACATTTTCACTAGAGTGGCAGGTTACAAAATTAATCTACAAAAGTCAGTAACCTTCCTATATACTAATAACAAGCAGTCAGAGAAAGAGTACATGGAAATCCTCCTATTCACAATAGCCTCAAAAAAAACCAAATCTTGGAATAAACCTGACCAATGATATTAGAGATCTCTACAATGAAAATTTTAAAGAGATTGAGGAAGATATCAAAAGATGGAAGGACCTCCCATGCTTATGGATTTGAAGAATTAATATTGTTAAACTGACCATCCTACCAAAAGCAATACATAGATTAATGTAATCCCAATCAAAATCCCTAAGACATTCTTCACATAATTAGAAAAAAATCATCCTAAAATTTGTATGGACACATAAAAATACCCAGATAGACAAAGCAAACCTGAACACAAAGAGCAATGCTAGAGAGATTACTATACCAGAACGCAAACTATATTACAGAGCTAATATCGTAAAATGGCATGGTACTGGCACAAAAATAGACACATAGATCAATGGAATATCACTGAAGACCCAAGAAATGAGTAACAATTTCAGCAACCTGGTATCTGACAAAGGTGCCAAAAACACAATGAAGGAAAAACAGCATCTTCAACAAATGGTGCTGGCAAAACTTGATCTCTACCTGTAGAAGAATGAAACTAGGATCTTATCTTTCACCTTTCACAAAAGTTAAATGCAAATGGATCAAAGACCTCAATGTGAAGCCTAAAACTCTGAAACTGTTTGAAGAAAACATTGGCTATAACCTACAAGATATAGGTGTAGGAAAGAATTTTCTAAAGCAGACACCAATTGCTCAGGAAATAAGGTCAATAATCAACAAGAGGGACTCCATTAAACTAAAAAGCTTCTGTACAGCAAAAGAAACAACCAAGGAAGTAAAGTGAAAACCCACAGAGAGAAAAATCTTCACCAGTGACACATTTCACAGAGGTTTAACATTCAGACTATATAAAGAACTCAAAAAGCAAATCAAGGAAACAAATGACCTAATTAAAAGATGGGCTAAGGATCTAAACAGAGTTCTCAAAAGAAGAAATAAAGACGGCAAAGAAACATCTTAAAAGGTGTTCAACATTATTAGTAATTAGGGAAATGAGTCACCACTCATCAAAGAAGCTTCTTTTGTAACAGACAATCAAAGAGTTCCACAACTGGTCACACACAGATGTTGTCTGTGAATTGCCCAAGCCTCAGTAGTATATCTACATTGCAACCTCAACACCCAAGGCTCACAGAACATAGAACAAGGGGTAAAGAGAACACTAATGCATCTCTCAATTCTCATCAATGAAGCTCCCTCATGCAATAGAGGGCCAGGAACACAAAAGGTCACAAATGGCCAAAGCATAGAGCATAAGGCTACAGAGTGTGGGTCCTTGGACAGGACTCTTTAAACTCCACCCACCCAGGGCTCATGGACCATTGCGGAAGAGTAGGTGGAAAAGATTGTAAGAGTCAGGGAGGCGGTGCAGAACCATATTGAAATAAGAGTCCTACGAGTTCCTGGGACCTTGCTCATATGAACTTACAGCAATGGTATCAGCATGCACAAGACCTATGCAAACTCAAGGAGACAAAACCCCAGCACAGAACTGTGGAAGTGGGCAACAAGCCCCAATGTTGGCTGAAGAACTATTGGCAGCTGATTACTGTTGGGTGAGGAAGAGCTGATCTTCTTAAAGGGAGGGTCTGTAGATAAGCTGACTAGACCCCAGTGGATGAACGTGAACTGAGGGACATCTGGGGACACTACCTTGATGATAGGCCTTAACACAAATGACAGAATGTATGATTTCCAGTGGGGTGGGGGGCTATGGGAGGGTGCCAATGGCAAAGTGGGTATAAAGACTAAGATATTCTGTATGGGGCTAGAGAGATGGCTCAGCAGTTAAAAACACTGGCTGTTCTTGAAGACGACCCAGGTTTGAATCCCAGCACCCACATGGCAGTTAACAACTGTCTTCCACAGGCATTGCATGACACGGGTGCACTTACCTACCCATATGCAGGCAATACATGCATACACATAAAATAAAAATAATAAATAAAATAGTAAAAAAAAGATGTTCTGTATGAAATATGCAAAAATTCAATAAAAAACTTACAAAGCTGATAAACTTTGGAAGTTATCTGCACAAAAAAAAACTTGTCCAGATCTAACAAGCATATAACAAAAGCAGAGGGACCTTGGTGACAAATTCTATTTACTAGTCTAAAACAAACCAACACTCCTCTTCATAGAAAGCCATTTTCCTCACACTTACCTTTTCTGAAACAGAAGCAAAACCTTTGGTTGGATGCTGTGTTCTCATGTCAAAGACATGGAACTTTCCTTCCAGAGATGTAGCTACCAACTTATTCATCCTTATGTCTTTTCTGTCAAACTCCAAGCTGCACACCTTGAAGCAGAGAATACTTGTTATTGACAGGTTCTTTTAAGCTCACTGAAACAGCTTAAATGACAAGGCCATGTGAAAGGGTTTGGATAGCCATCAAATCTTCTGACTCAATATAATACTTATATTGTAAAAAAAAAAAAAAAAATCTACTAATTTAATCCTCCAATGCTCAGTGGGAGGTCACAGTGTAACTTTTCATTATTTAACACAGATAAGGTTGCCTTCAGAAAACAGAAGGGAACTAAATTATTAAAATAAAAGTGTACATACACCACAAGAACCAAACATCCAAAGGTACTTGAAGCTTTTTGCATGTCAAATAGGAAAAGGCCTCTCACTTGCTCATTTTATGTATCACCCTGCATGGTCTGTGTGCTTCACAGATGGGCTCAGGGTCCACGGGTTCACTTGATTCTGTACAAATTATATCTGAATGCGTGTTTACTTTCTAAAGAAAGGATGCATGGCTGTCTCTAGATTGTCAAGGGGGTTTGGCCCTCAAAGGTTAAGAACTTTTGGTAGAATACTGACAGATGAGTCAATACAAGTGATTCCAGAACTTTATAGTAGTTAGGTGTGGTAGAGTCCTCCTTTAATCCCAGCACTGGAGAGGCAGAAGCAGGCAGATCTCTGTGAGATAGAGGCCAGCCTGGTCTACATAGCAAGTTTCAGGCCAGCCGGGGCTACACAATGAGACCCTATGTCAGAAAAGAAGAAAAGCCAAGCTTCGTAGTGATTCCAGGCAGACAACAACATGCTCAAAGTTATACAGCGCGGGAACACACATTACCCCATTTTTAATGTTTGTCTCCCACTGCAGTGACATGTTTCTGAGATCAAACAGCTTGATATCCCCATTGTCATAGCCAGCACAGACAACACGCTCTTCTTGATTGTAAGCATTGCCTGGAAATGAAGACACATGCCAAGTTTTTAATAAATGCTAACTTGAAGACTGCTTTAAAAAAAGAAAAGCCCCCCCCCCAAAAAAAAACTGTTGTAAATACACATATAACTTAGGACAAATCTAATTTTAAAAAAATCACATTGAGTATAATTCCATTTCATCAATCATGTGAGGAGATAGTGTGTTAATCTGGCATTAATTAAAAAATCTTGGGGCTAGAGAGATACTTAGTAGTTAAGAGTACTGGCTGTTCTTGTAGGGCCCAAGTTCAATTCCCAGAACCCACATGGCCACTAACAGCAGTCCCTAAATCCAGTTCCAGGGAAATCCAACACGATCTTCTGATCTCCATGATGCTACACAAGAAGGGTTCACTTACACATATGCAAGCAATACACTTATACACATTAAAAAATTAATTAAAAATAATAAATGAAATATATTTAAAATATTAAAAAGTATAAAATGAAATTAAAATAAGTCTCACCTGAAATTCTATACCAAAAAGTCTACTTTAAAGAGTTTACTGAACACTTTTTTTTTTTTTTTTTTTTTTTTTTTTTTTAAGCAGGGTTTCCCTGTAGCCCCAGCTGGCTGGCCTGGAACTTGCTATGTAGACCAGGCTGGTCTTGAACTCACAGGGACCTTCTGGCCTCTGCCTGAGTGCTGGGATTAAAGACATGCAGAACCATGTCCATCTGTGTTTAATGAATTCTAAATAGAAAGCAAATGCTCTCTCAGACTGAGGACATAGGTCTGTGGTAGAGGGCCTGTCTAGCACGTGCAAGGCCCTATGAGCCATTACAATATCTACAAAGACTAACAGACCAACTACAGTTCACATGAAAACATCTGCCTCTATTTTATTCCCTTGGCAGTAACCGTATTTAAACACATTAAAAAAAAAAAAAAAAAAAAAACTGCTTTAAAACTTACTTTGAAAAATGTTTTTTTCTGGTTATTTTATAAGAAAATTTGTAATGAAAGAGTATGTTGTAGGGCTGGAGAGATGGTTCAGTGGTTAAGAGCACTGGCTACTCTTGAAGAGGACCTGGGTTTGATTCCCAGCACCCATATGGCAGCTAACAATTGTCCATAACTCCAATTCCAGGAGAATCTGACACCCTCTTCTGACCTCCATGGGCACTGCACAGCACAGGTGCACTCACATACATGCAGGCAATACACTTGTACACATAAAATAAAAATAATAAATAAAATATTTTTAAAGAATTAAAAAATGTAGTTAATTTCAGCATGCTTAGATCCAAGACTGTTTTCCTGCATACCTCTTGCTGAGTAAAAAAATATGAAGGGAGCGGAAGGTCCTATCAATGTGTTAAGTGATGGGGGACTGTATCTCAAACTTTCATTCTCAGCTGCCTCCCACTTCCTCCTTATAAACTCCAGCCCTGCATTTCCACTGTGGGCTCTGGATGGTATACCAGTGTCTTACACTTGCAATGTCCTAAACTGACTTCATCATCTTTCCTTAACACCATTCCACTGCCTGTGTAGCTTTTTCAAATGAACAACATCCTTCACTCAATGATCAATCTCAAAATTCAGTCATCATGGACATAATTTGTTTATTGCTCCATAGTTCATGGATACAAAACTGCCTACCTCTGCCTCCCAAGTGCTGGGATTAAAGGCATGTGCCACCACATCTGCCTTTAATTTCTTTTTATTTAATGTGTATGAGTGTTTTGCTTGTGTAGATAGGTGCACCCATGTTGTGCAATGCCTGCAGAGGTGAGAAGAGGGCATTGGATCCCCTGGAACCGGAATTACAGATAGTTGTTAGCCGCCATTTGGGTGCTGGGAACTGAACCCGGGTCCTCTGCAAGAGCAGCCAGTGCTCTTAACCACTGAGCCATCTCTCCAACCCCTAGAAGAGAGTATCATATAAAAGAGGCGTAGTGTTGTATATCTATAGTCCCAGTTTTTCAGAAGGCTGAGGCAGGAATATTACTTAAGCTGTGTTTATTACATAAACATAGGGGTTTGAGACTGGCCTGAGTAATACAGTGAGACTACATCTCAAAAAAAATAAATAAATAAAATAACACCAAAAAACCCCCAAACACTCTCTAATTAATACACTTTTCTGCTGGAGATCAACAATGAAAAAGCATTCATGGAACCTCATGGAACCAAAGGCAATTACTTTTTGTTTTTTCATCTCCCGGTATCCCTAGCTGCCCTGGATCTTGCTGTGTAGACCAGGCTGGCCTTGATTTCACAGAGTTCCTGTCTTGGCTTCCCAAGTGCTGGGATTGAAGGAATTCACCACACGCCCAGCTAAGATAATTAGGTTTTAATTACAATATACATTTTCAAAAAAATATATTATTTTTATGTGTATGAGTGCATTGCCTGCATGTATGTGAGTGTACCGTGTCATGCAATGCTGTGGAGGTCAGAAGAGGGCTTCGGATTCCCCTGGAACTGGAGTTAAGGATGGTTCAGAGATGCCATGTGGGTGCTGGGAATTGAATGTGGGTCCTCTGAAAGAGCAGTCAGTGCTCTTAACCACTGATCCATCTCTCCAGCCCCACAATATAAATTTTAAATTTATTTTATGTGTATTAGTGTATGTAAGTGTATCTGTGCATGCAATGCCTATAGAGGCCAGAAGAGGGCATCAGAGCCTGAAATCTGAGTTTCTGATGATTTTAGCTGCCATGAGGATGCTGGGAATAAAATTGGGATCCTCTACAAGAGCAGCCAGTGCTCTTAACCACTGAACCATCCATTTCTCCAGCCCCACAATATCAACTTAAAAAAAAAATCATTCTGGCCTGGTCCTGCCCTCACCTCCCTTTGCATCCCTGGGCTGCACAACCTCTGGTGTCCTGGTGCTAGCACCTTTCTTGGGTAAGTCCAGTGGTGCCCACCATGCCTTGACTCTCCCAGCTCATTCACCCTCCCAGCTCCCCTCCTAGCCTGGGTACTAAGGCCCATTTCCTGTCTTGGCACCCAGGACCCCTGGACTGACCTCTTGGTCCAGAATCCCCACGCTTCCTGATCCTTTGATTCCAGACCAAGCCAGTTCCTCCCAGTAGTCCCCAGGAGCCCTCCAGGCCTCTTCCCACTCCCACCTCCCTTTGCATCCCTGGGTGGCACAGCCACCAGCTTCCTGAGACCAGCATCTGAATTAAACAATACCCTATATCAAATGGACCTAACAGATATCTACTGAATATTCCACCAAGCACCAAAAGAATATACTTTCTATTCAGCGATCCATGGAACCTTCTTCAAAATGGACCATATATTGGAGCACGAAACAAACCCCAACAAATACAAAAAGACTGAAATAATTCCATGTATTCCATCAGACCACAACGCAATAAAGCTTAAAACCAACACCGGAAGAAACCCTAGTAACCACATGAACACACGGAGATTAAACAACACACTCCTGAATGATGAATGGGTCAAAGGAGAAATTAAGAAAGAAAGAAAAGTATTCCTGAACTAAATGAAAAGGACAATACAACACAACAAAACCTCTGGGACATGTTGAAAGCAGTCCTTAGAGGGAACTTTATAGCTCTAAGTACCTACATTAAAAAATCAGAAAGAACACAAATAAATGACTTAACATTGCACCTTAAGGCACTTGAAACACAACAACAAATGAAATCCAAACCCAGCAGCCAAGAAGAAACAACAAAAATCAGGGCAGAAATTAATGAAATAGAAAACAATAAAAAGTATCAATGAATCCAAGAGCTGGTTCTTTGAAAAGATAAAGGGATTGATAAACTGCTAGCCCCGTTAATCAAAAGAAAGAAAGGGCACCACCAAATCAACAAAATCAGAGATGAAAGGGGAAATACCATGACACCAAAAAGATCCAGAACATTAGAAGGGAATACTTTAAAAACCTATATGCTACTAAATTTGAAAACCTAAAAGAAATGGACGGATATCTAAAGGCATGGGAACCACCAAAACTAAACCAAGAAGAGATTAACAGCTTAAACAGACCCATATCACAAAAAGAAATTGAAACAGTAATACAAAACCTCCCGACTAAAAAAAGCCCAGGACCAGATGGATTTACAGCAGAATTCTATATTTAAAGAAGATCTGCATCCAATACCACTTAATTTATTCAAAAACATAGAAATGGAGGGAGAACTTCCAAATTCCTTCTATGAAGCCAACATCACTCTAATACCAAAGCCAGGCAAAGATACAACCAAAAAAGAAAACTATAGACCCATATCCTTAATGAACATAGATGCAAAAATTCTCAACAAGATACTTGCAAACCGCATACAGACATACATCAAAAAGATCATCAACTATGATCAAGTCGGCTTTACCCTAGAGACACAGGGATGCTTCAATATATGTAAGTCAATAAACATCATAAACCATATAAATGGGCTCAAAGACAAGAACCACATGGTCATCTCAAAGATGCAGAGAAGGCCTTTGACAGAATGCAACATGCATTTATGTTCAAAGTCCTAGAGGGAATTGGACTGGAGGGAACAAACCTCAACATAATTAGAATTGGACTGGAGGGAACATACCTCAACAAAATTAAAGCTATAAACAACAAACCCACAACATTCTAAATGGAGAAAAACTGGAAGCATTCCCATTAAAATCAGGAACCAGACAAGGTTGTCCACTATCTCCACTCCTCTTTTAACATAGTTCCTGAAACACTTGTAAGAGCAGTAAGACAAGAGAAAGAAATTAAAGGAGTAATAATTGGAAAATAAGAGACTAAATTATCCCCTTTTGCAGATGATATTATATCTAAGAGATGCCAAAAATTCCACCAGAAAACTCCTAGAAATTAACATGTTCAGTAAAGTGGGAGGTTACAAAATTAATCTACAAGGGTCTATAGCCTTTCTATATACCAATAACAAGCAATCAGAACAAGTACATGGAAACACTCCCCTTCACAATAGCTGCAAAAAAATTAAAATATCTTGGAATAAACCTGACTGAAGTCATTAAAGACCTC